TTGGACAAATTCATGGTGGAGAAGAGGGCTATTGATGGCTACTGGCCACAAAGGCTCTGCTCTGCGCCTCCACATTCAGAGGCAGCAATGCTTCTGAATGCCAGGAAACCTCAGTAGCAGAGAGTTCCTCTGGTGCTCAGATCCTGTTTGTGGGTTTCCCATGTTGGCCACTGAGAGAACAGCCTGATCCAGAAGGCTCTTCTGATGCTCTCACAGTGAGGGGGGAAGGTATTTGATCCCCTGCTAAATTTGCCCGTTTGCTCTCCGACGAAGAAATGACCAGTCCATAATTTTAATGGCAGGTTTATTGTAGCTGTGAGAGACAGAATAACAACAGGAAGGTTTGAGTAGCTACACATCTGCCTTGAAATCCTACTGACTTGGAGAGGATCTGAAAAGAGGAGTGGGACAAAATGCCTCCTGAGATGTGTGCAAACCTGGTGGCCACCTCCCAGAAACGTCTGACCTCTGTAATTGCCAACAAGGGTTTTGCCACCAAGTACCAAGTCATCTTTTGGAAAGGGACCAAATACTTATTTCACTCATTATAATGCACATCAATCTCTGACTTTTGTCTTCTGGGTGTCTGGGGTTTTTTCCTGTTGTTATTCTGTCTCTCACAGCTACAATAAACCTACCATTAAAATTATGGACTGGTCATTTCTTCATCAGAGGGCAAACGGGCAAAGCAGGGGATCAAATACTTTTCCCCTTCACTGTATGTCTTGGGCCAACTAGGAGGCCCAGCCCAGAGAACTGGCTAATATATTTGCACATGGGATCATGTACACATCACGCCCCTGTCCTTAAGCACGTGTGTTGGGGCCAGCAAGGCCGGTGCTCCAGGATGCTCTCCCAAAGAAGGTACATGTAATTCTGATGTGCTTTTGGTGGTGGAGCCTCATCTATGGGACTCCCCCTCCCCAATCAAAGTGGTTTGGCCCCCTCGTTGGCTTTCTTTAGGGGAGACCCAAAGACATTTCTTTTCAATCCACCTTTGGTTAGGGAAGTCAGGGCTACGTTTACTCTCACTTTGCACTTGCTTTTATTAAAGGTAGTTTGCCAGGAGGGGGGCTGTGATGGAAGTTTGTGTCCTATTTTTATGCCGCTCTGTCAGAATTCACTGAAAATCTAAAACCAATTTACGTATGATTTTAAAGCAGGGTATTTTTTATGTTCTAATGTAACTTTAACTTGTGAAACTTTCTGAGAGGACCTATGGTCTTGAAAGCAGCATAAGAATCAAATAAATAAATAAATAAATACTGGGCATTTATTACAAGAGGCAGAAATCATTCAGCCAGTTCCCGGCTGAAAAGTTCTGTGCGTGTGTCACGCTGGAGAGCGACGTCTGCGAATGTGGCAAATGACACCAGAGACACTGCAAAGCAGTTTGTTCCTCAGAGCTGGCCGCCTTTCCGGCTCCAGGGAAGTCACTTTGTGTTTCTCTTCTCCTCGTGTCAGGAGCAGAGCAGGCTGCACCCAGCTGCTGGTGCTTCACCTGCCCTGGTGAGCCAGCAAAGGAGGCCCTCAGGCCAGTTCACAGGGCCAAGTCGGGGCAACCCCACACCTGTCTGGAAGGAGGAGCGCAACACCTGCAAGATGCTCTCTGCACTCCACCTGCAGCTGACTGTCACGTCCGTACAGATTGTTGCAGAAGAACCTAAGAAAAGCCTGCTGGATCAGGCCAATGGCCCGTCTAGTCCAGCATCACCTTCTCACAGCAGCCAACCAAAGGGAAATCCACAAACTGTGGGATGTAACATAAGCAGTCAAGTACAGCACTTCCTGATTGCCCAGAGTGGACATGCGGAGGGGTGTTACTCCTCAGCCAGGAGGACTTCCTGTCACACCTGGTCTGGAGCTTCCTCCCCCTGCGTGTGACCAGGTAGGTGGGCGTGACCCTGGGAGACCCCATAAAAGGGGCTGGTCATGGAGCCACCTCCCTCTTCTTCCTCTTGATACTGGTGTATTTTGCTATCTGCCGGCCCTCGGCCAGCAGCACATGGGCTCATCCCCATATGGGATGAACTCAAACCCTCTTCTGTAACTCTAAGCTAAAGCCCGCCTTCCAGGAACCAACTGTGAAATGAATGTGAGTAAACATCATCATTTTAAGAGCAGACTGTTGTGTCTTTATTCTTTTTAAAATGGAACAAAGGAGATTTACCAGGAACAAACCCAATCTAGACAAGCCAGATTGGATTGCTTAAGTAAAGAGATTCAAATGAATCCACCATCTAGCTTCCTGCTATATATTGGGGAATGTCATGCTGCTGCTGAGTGAGGAAAGATACTATTAAATCAATATATCCTCTCCTAGTATCTACAAAATCCCCACACGAACAAGACCTGAGCACAAGAGGCCTCTCCCCTCCTGCAGTTGCTAATGTTTGGTGGTATTCAGAAGCACTGCTGCCTCTTACATGGAGGCAGACCGCAGCCTCTATCATTGCTAATAGCTGCTGCTAACCCTCTCCACCAGTGGTGGCCATCACTGCCTCCTGTGGCAGATGGTAAAGGTAAAGGTAAAGGTACCCCTGCCCGTATGGGCCAGTCTTGACAGACTCTGGGGTTGTGCGCCCATCTCACTCAAGAGGCCGGGGGCCAGCGCTGTCCGGAGACACTTCCGGGTCACGTGGCCAGCGTGACAAAGCTGCATCTGGCGAGCCAGAGCCGCACACGGAAACGCTGTTTACCTTCCCGCCAGTAAGCGGTCCCTATTTATCTACTTGCACCCGGAGGTGCTTTCGAACTGCTAGGTTGGCAGGCGCTGGGACCGAGCAGCAGGAGTGCACCCCGCCGCGGGGATTCGAACCGCCGACCTTTCGATCGGCAAGCCCTAGGCGCTGAGGCTTTTACCCACAGCGCCACCCGCGTTTAACCATGTGCTGCGTGAAAAAGTCCTTTTTATCTGCTCAGAATCTTCCAATGTTCAGGTTCACTGGATGTCCGCATTTGTTAGAGAGGAAGGAAAACTCTTCTGTCTAATTTCCCATTACTTCAGTTCACTAAAACCTTCAGATGTGGGAGTACTTCACTGGGAACGTGGTGTGTATAACCCTGTTTATGGATTAAAAAAATCATTTGAAAGGACCTCAGAAGCCCCGGCCTTGCACAGAACTGTCTTCATGGCTCCTTAGCCCAGGACAGGCCCCTCCACTCCTTCTGGGGGCGACTGCAAGATTATTTTCTGTCCAGGAAGTGACTCTTCCAGGGTCCAGACTCAGAAGGGCCTTGCCTCCCCCAAACTGCTTATCAGCGGCCTGTGTCGGAGAGCAACTATGTGGAGCGATGTAATTGCTTTGTGTTGCCAAAACATGCTAAATGAGCTGGCTGGGTTCTGAATCCTGTAACTGAGCTTTTGCCGCCTGGTTGGTGGCTGGGAGGGAGCGATGGCCAGAGGGGGAACACGAAGTGCTAAAGGCCAAGGAACACACGAGAGGGAGGGAGACAAAAGGCTCCACACCCTGAGCACTGCTTGCCTGCACATGTTCAGGCATTTTTTAAAAGGGTGGCGGGGACAGGGAGGTTCTCAGAGATCTGCATGCATGCACAGGGCTGCAGAGACAAAACAACAGACTGTGATGAGCCGAGCCTTGCCGCAGCAGAAGCAGCTCCTCCTGCAAAGGCAGAGTTGGGGGGGGGCACTTCCAAGCCACAGTGGGTCCTGGGTGGCTTCCATTATTTAAGTGACTCAGCCTCTTCTCAGTTGGCCGGAATCAGGCCAGATAACTGGAGGATGTGAGGAGGGAGAGAGGGAGGAAGAGGCTGATTTCATGCCCCTTTTAGAAGCCTCTCTCTAGTGAAATGAAACAGGAAGCCCAGTTTGTGCTGGCAGGGAGAAAGAGGGAAGAAGGTGCCTTGGGGCCTGCCTGTGGCAGGTTCTGGGTTCAAACCCTGAATATTTGGGACAAATCACCCTCTATCCCAGGCCTCACCAACTACAGTCATGGGTTGCAAGCTAAAAAGCCTCACTGCTCTTTGCTTGCTGCAAATAGGACAGACTAACAGAGCTGTGTGGACACCGCATGCCAATAACTGCTCACAATTACGCTATAAGGAAATAGACGTCAGTTTGATCGGTTAATCTGCAGGGATTATTCCGGTCACAGAGATTATCTCCATTGTTTAGCCCATCCATCCACCAAAGGCAGACCAAGAAGAAACAAATTCAGAATACAGGGAGGTAAGGGTTAAATCAGTGGTTCTGAAATGAGCTGAACCATCCCTGGGGGTGGGGAGGGGTTCCCTTGGAAAGCGCTAATAGGTAAGGGGGTGGCAGGGGTGTGTGATGGAGGCATAAACAACTATCAGATTTTGAGAAGCTGGTATCACTGGATCAAGTTCCTCAGTTTTGCTGAATTAATTCAATAGTTTAAACCGGATTTTGAATAATTGTGCAATTCACTGTTACTGTTTTATTGTGTTATTATCTTCCTTTGAATGATGGTTTTCACAGGGTAAGGAGCGCTGGGGATGAGTTCATAGAACCAGGGGAGCAGAGCCCCCAAAATGTTTGGGAACCCCTGGTTTAAACTAAGTGCTAGAAGAAACCCCCTCGCTGTAAGACCAGTTGGAATAAGCTGCCTAGAAACCTGGACTCTCCACTGAGGTTCTGCTGTCTCCATCCTTGGGAGGTTTCAAGATCTGACAGGTAATACTAACCTGCATGAACTTCTGGGTGTTTCAGGCCAGCAGTCTTCTGGTCCACACAAAGCACTAGATGCCCACCCTTGATCCTTGCTGGGTGATACTGGCACATGGTGGGCAGGAGCGAGGTCAGGACAGGCCCAGCATGCTTGCTTTGCAAGGGGGCTTCATCCAGTGCTTTGTGGTTTGTAAGTGCCAAACCAGAAGCACAAGCCGGTCTCCTACCAAAGTGTTTGGGAAGATCTGAGCAAAAGTCATCAGCATGCCAGGTGCTAGCGAAGAAGGGAGAGAGCCAGGACTGCAGCTGGCACCACCCATGGCACCCTGCAGCAGCCTCCAAGACTCACCTTTCCTGGAGATCATGCAGACTCTGCTCAGCTCTGTGGAGACCTTCGAGGTCCTTCATCATCTTCTTCATGTGCTCTTTCGAGTAGCGGTTCTGGATGTAAGCAAACCAGCAGCCGCCCACCCCAATCACAATGGACACCACCAGCATGAAGTCCTTCAAGTGGTTATGACGGGTCACTGGGGAAACAGAAGTCACACAATGGCCTATTTAGACAAGGAAACAAGCCCACCTCCTCTCCTCTCCTTCCTTCCTTCCTTCCTTCCTTCCTTCCTTCCTTCCTTCCTTCCTTCCTTCCTTCCTTCCCTTTGCTCTTTTGGATTTGATATAACACCTGTGGCTGCGCTTAGGTCAGGCAAGGAAAGCTCCAAGGGGCAGGAAGAGCTCATAGTAGCCAACTTTCCATACAAACTTCGGAACCACACATAATTCTTTGCCCAAGGCAGAACCCTGTACACTAGCACACTGGACATCAACTGGTGGACGGGGATTTGGCTTAAAAGTGGGCCCTGAGTTTTCGCCAGCACAAGTCGGTCTAGTAGAGGACAGCGTCACCCTAAGTTTCAGAGAAACAGTGATGTTAGTCTGTGCCCTGATTCTGAAGTGTCCTCCCCAGAGTGGCACACTTCACACCAGCATAGCAAGCTTTTCGGCGCCAGATAAAGATCGGACCAGGCGTTCTAGATTACAAACAGTTTCACTGGCCCTGTTTTGTTTCTTTGGGTTTTTATTCGCTTGCCTTGTTGCACTCTGCAATATTTATTTGTGGCGTTTCAAACTGCCTTTACGTGTTGTGTGTGAATTAGTTTATAATACAGTTTGCAATCTCTGCAATTCCACCCCCGAAACTCAGTTAAATAAAAATATTTATATTTCACATTTTTAGTTTTATTTGTGAGCCACTCAGATTTGTGTGTGTGTGTGTGTGTGTGTGTGTGTGTGTGTGTGTGTCTGTCTGAGCAGTACAGAAAAGCTGCAGATAAATTAAATAGTGTGCATGCACAATTATTATTCACTAGTCACAGGGATGCAGACATCCTCTCTCTTGAGCAGGCTTCCTCAAACTCGGCCCTCCAGATGTTTTGGGACTACAATTCCCATCATCCCTGACCACTGGTCCTGGTAGCTAGGGATCATGGGAATTGTAGGCCAAAAACATCTGGAGGGCTGAGTTTGAGGAAGCCTGCTCTTGAGGCTCCTCTTGGAGGGACCTCTCCTTCTCCCATCCTTCAACAGCAATATACTACTCCTGGGGATTCTTCCTGACTTTGCAGCGGTTGCCCCTGCCATGGTATGTTGCCTTGCTTCTGCCCACCAGCCTGCCAGCATCCTTGTTCCAGTTCCCCCACTCTCACCCCCTGGATGGACTTCTCAGTGGGGACACTGGCTGGCCATCAACTCTGCCCCAAGGCTGGCCCTCCCATAGCTCCAGCCCAACAGATCATCCTGCCTTCTTGGACTCCCCACTGGCCCAGCAGCAGCCAAGCCTCAGAAAGTCATCTTCTTCCCCAGCTATTCTTAGATCATGTGCTTACAGAGCATTCCTGCAAAAGCACTAAATATACACATCCCTGCCTGAAGCATGAGCTCCGTCACCAATGCATTATTTACTTTATTTATGAATCACTTCCTACGAGGCGTCTTGAAGCGATTCCACAGCACAAATTAAAACGCATCTAAAACAACTGCAAGTCGAAAGAGTTTCAAATCTAGTGCAGAAACAAAGCGGGATAAAATAACTCCACTAGTCTTCATTGGAGAAGGTGCCTGCCTGATATTTAGCAGAAGGGAGTTCCAAAGGGCATTGAAGGCTCCATTCAGACTTCCTATGGGACAGATCTCCTGAGAAGACGGTGTGTGCGGGATGCCCTGTCCTGAAGAGTACAGTGATCAGCTGGGTATAGAAGGGGCCAGCCTTCTATACCCAGGTACCCCGGCTCCAAGCTGCATAGGCCTTTGTACACCAGTACCGGCACCTTTAACTTTATCTAGTAGCTATTTGGTGGCCAGTGCAGTTCTGTGAACAGTGGAGCAACAGGACAGCAATATTCCTGGTTAGAGCATGGCGCTGAGAACGCCAAGGTTGCAGGTTTGATCCCCGTATGGGACAGCTGCACATTCCTGCTTTGCAGAGGGTTGGAATTGATGACTCTCCGGGTCCCTTCCAACTCTACAATTCTATGCTTCTATCCTGCCTCGGTGAGCAGTTGAGCTTCTGCATTCTCCCTCAAGGGCAGCCCCGTGCGGAGAGCATTACAATCATCAAGGTTACCAATGAAGGAACCACAGTGGCCAAGCCATCCTAGACCAAAACACCCCTTAGCCTCTCTAGCAATAGAGATGCATCCAGGGGCATCTCCAAGCTACAAGCCTGCTCCTTTAGTGGAGTGAGACTCCATCCAAGGCAAGAAACGGGCCGGTAATCCACTCAGGAACTGCTCACCCACAATGCCACCAACCTGCCAGGATTCAGAATCTGACCCTCGTCCAGCCCACAACTGATTAGAAGCCCTGAGCCAGGGTTTGCACAACCTTTCCTGATTAAGCTACACCCTGTGCAAATGGACCCTTGTTGCATGGCCACCTGGATAATGGCTACTGTCAGTCACACCAAGTCTAGCATGGTGGGCCTTTATCACAGGGGGCGGAGCCTGGTGTGAGACAGGGCTGCAGGGTCAAGTCCTGGGGTCTCCTCTGGCCTCCAATCAGCCAGCAGAGTAAATTGGAAATTCCTATCGCAGAAACGGGTAATTGGAAAGCACCCCTCACTTCACCTAAAATGGTAAGATTCCTAGGAGGCAGTTATGTAACTCCTCTGCTAGAGAGAAAGAGGAGATCACCCTGAGAACACAAGGACTCTTCAAAGAGCTCAGAGCAATCAAACCATGGCTGGATTTGGGGATTAGAGTGGCAGGGAGCCAAAGTTTCAGGAAGGCACTGCAAACAAGGAAAGATCCATCCTTAGAAAAATGACCCCAGGGTTTTGTTTCCTTATGGTATATGAGGAAGCCTCCCACTTTCTCTGGGTTGGACGGGACAACTGGAGCTACAATCCTCAAGCCCTTGTGTTGACGTCACTCGGCAGTAAACATGTTACAAAGCACCCCTAAGAATGGCCAGCTTTCGCTATGACAGCCTGCACCTCGGAAGGGAGCTTCTGAGACTTGGAGAGGCCTCAAGAGAGACTCGTAAGAACCTAAGAAGAGCCTACTGAATCAGGCCAATGGTTCATCTAGTCCAGCATCCTGTTCTCACAGTGGCCAACCAGGTGCCTCTTCTGGGAAACCCACAAGCAGGATTCAAGCACAAGAGCAACGCTCTCCCTTCCTGTGGTTTCCAGCAACAGGTGTTCAGAAGCACTGCTGCCTCCATAGCTAGTAGCCATCAAGAGTCATCCATTCATTTGCCTAATCCTCTTTTAAAGCCATCTGGGTTGGTGGACACCACGGCCTCCTGCGAGTGGCAGTTATGAGCTGCGTTAAAGAGTCCTTCCTTTCATCTGTCCGGAATCTGTCCACTTTGTTACAGAAAGCCAGGCTCATGTACTCCAAGCAAGCTGAACTTGGAAGAGCAGCTGGAAAACTCATGGCTTCCTTTTGCTGTAAATCTCTGCCATCCCTCCTTTTACCATTTGCAAACTTAAAAAGTGTCGTTTTTTGTGAGGCAAATAGCAGCCGATGGGAAGCCTATGCAGCCACAGGTCCCTCTTGGGTGGGGAAGGGGAGTTTAACTCTTTCCTTGCCACAGTCCTGACAAAAACCACTTCCCCCAAAAACTGCTCTTGCATTTCAAGCGAAATTGCTGGTGGTGGTAAAGCAGGCTTCCTTTCTAATGGCTGGCGGCTGCTTCAGCGATGGGAACCATGGAGATTGTATGGGTACCGTGTGGGGTGTAACAGCAGAAGAACAAGAATGGGTTTATGTGCTGTAACGGTCCGTAAGAGATTTATACTTTGAGGCTGGTTACGGAAGGAAGAGGCCTGCTGTCTGCTCACATGCTGAATGGAAACACTCTTGGCTGGCTTGCTGACCAGTGCTGTTTGTTTACTCTCAGAATGGTGTTTTTATGTGAGATCCCAGGGACCTTTCAACCAACATGCTCTTAGGGAGGCCAGTCCTTATTTGGATGGCTCTGGGCAGGGCTGGGTCACTGAGAACTCAGCGCAAAAGAACTTCAAGGCTCTTCTGGGTTGCTGGTTCTGACCCTCTGGTGTTGCTTCCTGGAGTATTTGGCTTGGGAGGCTTGTCTGAGCCATCAGATCTCTGGCGCGATGCCCCATTCCTGCTTTTGCCACACAATGATCTGGACCGGGCAGATGAATGGGTGGCAAAACAGTAGAGCCCCACAGACTCCGCCCTGGGTCCCAAATGGACTGTGTGCCACCTCTCTGCTCCCTCCCTCCCTCCTATCCCCATCTTATTTCACTCTCTGTAATCACCCAATAACTGCTCAAGAGAGTTCCCTCTGAGTCCAGTGAAAACAAGAAGGCGTAGGGCTGAGTCCTTGAAGGGAAATGGAGCACTTCTATTTGTATTGGGTCAGTTTTCTCATGGATGAGGTCCCTGGAGCCTCATGGCCTTCCCAGAGCCCTCTTGATTGCACCAAAAAACCCTTTAACTGCTTTGCGCTGAATGCTTCTTTCCGGACACAGTGGTGATGTCTGCTTTGCATCTTGGTGGTGTCTCTGGCACCTACTATGTATTTATTCTGGCACTGCTAATTGTGGGGATGGATGTTGCTTGCTGGCAGCAGCGCAAGAATCCAGACACCATGGCCTGCCTAAAAATGCATAGAATCATAGAACTGTCGGGCTGGAAGGGACCCCGAGGGTCATCTAGCCCAACCCCCTACGAGGCAGGAATCTCAGGTAAAGAATCCCTGATAGATGGTTACCCAAACTCTGCTTTAAAGCCTCCAAGGAAGGAGAGTTCCCCACCTTCGGAAGGAGTCCACTCCATGGTTGAACAGCTCTTGCAGTCAGAAAGTTCTTCTTTGTGTTTAGTCAGAATCCCCTTTCATGTAACTTGAAGCCATGGGTCTTCTTCTCCAGAGTGGGAGAGAACAAGCTTGCTACAACTTCCATGGGGCAGGGCTTTGGATATTTGAAGATGACTATCTTGTATCCTCTCAGTCTCTAGGCTAAACATACCCAGCTACTCTAACCATTCCTCCTAAGGCT